TGGTCAGCCTCGCAGAAGAGGCTGAGGGGGTTGTGGTGCGTGGGGCAGGACTCCGGGGTGGGCTCGGGCTCGCCCCGGCTCTGCAGGGCCTCGATGACACGGGCCAGTGTGACGTTGGGCGGCGAGGCGCTGCAGTCCACGGTCTGGCGGCACACGGGGCACAGGAGCTGCCCGCCCAGCTCTCCAGAGAGGGACCCCACGCAGGACTTGCAGTACGAGTGCCCACACTGCAGCATCCGCGGCTCCTTGAAGACCTCCAAGCAGATGGGGCAGAGGAGCTGGTCCTCCAGCTCGTCCAGGCTCATCCTCCGAGCCATCCTGCCACCCTCCTGCGCAGCCCCTCCTGGGGAAACACGGGTGGGAGATCGGTCCTGTTCCGAGAGCAAGATAAGCAAAGATGAGTGAAGACAGAGCTCAGCACCTGGGAAAGGCAAAGCGGAGACCCCTCCACCCCCTGTAGCAGCACAGACAGTGGCAGACTCATCACTAGGCTCCACGCAGAGTCTGAGGTGCTGGTTTGAACCCGCACTGGGTTTGAGCTCTGGAGATGGGAGACTGCTCCTGGCCGTGCCTGCTGGATCGGCCCAAGGTGTCAGAAGTCCCCACCGAGCTGTTCCCATCGGGGATGTTCGTCAGGCTGCAGCCCACTGCCGGGCAGACCTGCCCACGTGTCAGGGCTGGAGACGGAGCCCAGGGGGATTTTCTGCTGAAAAACCCCAGCATTGCCCCTGGCCTGTATGAATTCCTGCAGATCTCTTTGGGCTCAGCGTCTTGGCCACGGACATCCTCAGAATGACTGGTGTTAGCTCAGTGCCAAAGCCAAAGGAAATCATATGAGCACGTTTATCTAGGAGATGGGGACAACCGCCACACAGTGAACACACACGAGGACGGATCCGGCTGACGCGAGGGCTGGGGAGTGTGGCTGCAGCGCACACCCTTGAAACATGCTGCAGGCTACCACCCCCAGGAGACACGAGCCCAAATCCCAGCCTCTCCCACTGGCCCTGGGCCACATGTGGCCGGACGATTTAACAGCCACGAGGTTCAGGCAGCATCACCTCCCCTGCCGTTCCCAGTGCTGTGGGATATAACCACCAGGATCCTGGGCAAGCCAAAGACACAACCTGAAGCTGAAGAAAATAACACTGAGGTCAAAGACTCGGTCATTTCCCACGAGAAAGGGAAGGCTGTGACCTGAGCTTGGCTTTCATCGTACATTGTTGTAGGAGCTACACGAATCCAGGAAAGCTCAACTGCCAGCCTGTGACCCATCCGACACCGCAGGACCCCATACGGGGGAACCAGCCTCAGCTGCTCCCTCTGCTCACACAGAAACACCTCCCGGAGACCCGAATACCAGCCTCCCCCCCACCACCCCACTCACGTGTCCTGTGCCGCTTCCTCCCGGCCCCAGCTCAGGCTCTGCTTGTCCTCGTGCACCAAGCCCAACGGATGCCACTCAGCTTCTCCCGATCAAGCTGAAGATTCCAGCCCAGTCGGAGGGGTGGACGAGGCGGCGGTGGGACCAGTGGCCCCTCAGTGGAACGGGCAGCAGAGCCGCTTCCCTCCTGCAGCCTCAGCCACACCGGGGATGTCCCTGCTTGCTGGGGAGAGGCCAGGCAGCCTCGTGTCCCCTCTCCTGCTCTGAGGACAGCAACACGCCGCTGTGAAGGGCTGCCCACCGCCCTGCCGTGCAGGTACAGGCACACACATCATATGACTGTGTGGGCAGGAGCCGAGATAAGAGCCGGCTGTGTTTGCCTCCCCGAGTGGCTGGTCTCCCAAGTCCTGCGGGGGTTTCACTCACCCACACTGCTCGGGGCAGTGGAAACATCTTCACCTAAACTTTGTCATCGACTAATGCTCTTTTTTGATTGAAACAGTATTTTTTTTTGCTGTTGTTTGGTGAAAACCTTTTGTGCTTTTGGCAAAGACCTGAAGGAAACCCAAAGTGTCGCTCCTCCAGTGTGGGGCAAGGCATGCATGTGGTTTTGTCTGATTGGGCAAAAAATGGTTTCTCGTATAATTACCCTTGGTTCATGGATGTGTTTGACTTGCAGCCACCTTGGCAGCTTCCCTCTCAGCGTCACCCAGGGAAAGCTGGGGATGGGGATGGCTTCTTAGCCAGGAGGGTCCAGCAACCTGGACAGAGGTGAAAGGATCAGCCAGGGACTCCCACCTCGGCCTCACGCTGAAGGCGCTGGGTCGCTGGGCTGCAACGAAGCAGGAGGGTGCAGCACCCTGAGGGGCTGGCGGGCGAGGACAGGCCATGGGTGATGTCAAAATTTAGAAATTAACTTTCCTCATGTTAAGGAAAATGCAACACCAAGGTCTTAAACAATGTGCAGGTCTTGTAGATGTGTCTTTGGTAAGCAGGACGGGTCTGTCGCTTACGTCTGCGCCTTGCATATTATTCAACAATCACACTCCCCCCGAACTCCACAAACCACACAAAACAATGATATATTAACAAGACTGCGAATTTCCACATTGCCATTCTCACATCCACACCAATCTTAACCCTACCCCTCGCACCAACGATCCTCACCATCCCTTAGAAACTTGGCATAAACCTTAAACCGAAGGCCTTCAAAGTCTTAAATAAGAGTTAAACCCTCTTAGTTTCTGCTGAGACCCGCAGGACCTGCTCAGACCCTAAGTTCAAAATGATGGCATGTCAGTTCAGTAACTCCCAGAGGGGGGAGCACGACCACCGGCTCACGGACCACCGACCCCACCCACCCGAAAGGAGGAAGAACTAAGCCCGCGTGGTGAGTTTAAACGAGGCGAGGAGATTGTAACCCATCACGGACAC